AGATATTGTAATTCCAGAGCAAGTAACTCCCAGGTGCCCAGTTTCCTTTCTTTGAAGTGCTTTGTAATAGGCTGCTAATGACTACATTAATTTTCTAGTGTCACATTCTAATCACTAGTTCTACTGGGTGTTTGCATCACTCTGCCTGTTTAAGCTGGGAATCTGTGTGAGTGTGTGTTTGTATTAAGATATATGATTTTAATCTGAAGAAGCATTTTGTATTATTGGAAGGACCTAAATAATTGTATGGCAATGTACAATTATGATTAAACTTTCATTAATAACTTACTGACCTCATAACTTTAGTCACATAAGGTGACTTATTTTGCACTAATAGTATGAGAGCCAGCCCCAGGGTCAGTAATATCATTGGGCCAACCTTTCATTTTATTTATTAACTTTTGCTGATTTTTCATAAAAGAAATTTTGGTGATAATTTTCTTCATAAATCCAAGAAAAAACAGTAACCATTTTAGCTCATTAAGTGGAATGCATTTCTAGTGAGTTTTGGAATATCCCACTGCCAGGCCCGTCAACAGACCCAGAACCCCGGGGCAGCTACTCCTCTTGCCCCCCCTCTAATCAGCCCTGGTGACATGGCAGAGGATAAGTATTTATTGGATATTCTAGCTGCATATTTATACAGTATTTTTAAGTTTTTCCACATTTCTGTTTCTACTTTCAAAAGCAAAGTTATCACATGAAGAGCAGATAGTAAAAAAAAATCAGCCAATGCATCAAATATACTGAGTCTTTTAATGATAAAATTAGCAGATTAATAACTAAAAGAATAGTACAGGTTAATAAGTAAACAAGTACTTATAACATTGAATAATAAATAAATAAATACATTTTTCATAGGTTAATTAATAAGTACATTTCTGTTGATATGCTCTAGAAAGATACTGACCTTTGAAACCATTCTGATCAAAAACCATTAAGCATGGGTTTATGTACCATAAAGAGCCATGAACAGAGTCGTTTTATCCACTGGTGCAAAGGGGTAGTTGCCCAGGGCCCAAGGCCATCAAAGGTCCACTTCGCATTGCAAGCATAGTAATAAATAATAAAGTATGAAAAGTATAATAAAATAATAGTAATAGACTTTTTTCCAAGAAATGTATATATATATTTTTTTCATTTCCTTAATTTTATAATCACTAATAAATTCATTTTTTCAAATAGAATGGTATTTTTTTTTAATGCAACGGGAGGAGCCACTAGTTTATTCTTTGCCCAGAGCTTACCAGTGCCTTAATGCAGCACTGGCTGTGGGTTGAAAATGAGACTGATTCTATGCATACCAGTAATAAATAATAAAACCACTTTTTGTTGGAAATGAAATTCTAGATATGTGTACTTTGGAGCCTCTTGTGAACATTGCATCCAGAAGTGATACTTATGCTGCTGTTCTTTTAAGATACAGATTGATTTAGATTAGATAAGAATGAATAAATTACCCTTTTCTTAGAGTAATGTAAAGAATGAAATGCTGTACACCTAGTGCACACATATCAGAAAAATTTAATGCACCTCAAGCCTATTTTAGGTGTCATAGATGCATCTTTGTGCATTAACAAAATCTCTCTTACTCTTTTACTAAATTTATTTCCTCAAACTTTTGTAACCATTTCAACCCCTGAATAATACAAGTTAAGAGATTGTATACTCTCATATTCCAGAATAATGCATGTTAAACTATAGTTTTTAACACCACTGAACAATACAAGTTAACATATTGTATTCTCTCATATTTTATAACAAAACAAGTTAAACTATAGTTTATAACACCACTAAACAATACAAGTTAACAGATTGTACACTCTTATATTCCAGATGAACACAAGTTAAACTATAGTTTTTAACACCACCGAACAATACAAGTTAACAGATTGTATACTTCCAGAACAACACAAGTTAAACTATAGTTTTTAACACCACTGAACAATACAAGTTAACAGATTATATACTCTCATATTCCAGAACAACACATGTTAAACTATAGTTTTTAACACCACTGAACAATACAAGTTAATAGATTGTATATTTCTAGAACAACGGAAGTTAAACTATAGCTTTTTAACACCACTGAACAATACAAGTTAACAGATTGTATACTTCCAGAACAACACAAGTTAAACCATAGTTTTTAACACCACTGAACAATACAATTTAATAGATTGTATACTCTTATATTCGAGAACAACACAAGATAAACTATAGTTTATAACACCACTGAACAACATAAGTTAAACTATAGTTTTTGACACCACTGAACAATACAAATTAATAGATTGTATACTCTCATATTTCAGAACAACACAGGTTAAACTATAGTTTTTAACACCACCGAATAATACAAGTTAATAGATTGTAAACTTCCAGAACAACACAAGTTAAAATATAGTTTTTAAC